GTGCGGCGGCGACAAGCAGTCCCCCGTGAACATCGACAGGCGCCGGCTGCAGCGGGACGGTGGCCTCGGGGACATCCTCTTTGAGGGCTACGACCAAGCCCCCCCGGGCAAGTGGAGGCTGGCAAACGATGGGCATACGGGTGCGTGCTGCGACCGGGCACCCTCCCCTACCCCGGCTCCCCAGGCACCGTCCTGGCTGGGGCTCAGCTCCGCCACCACTCCTGGGTGCTCTCAGCTGCAGGGCCCCAGGGTGGCTCCTGCCCCATGGGCTGGGATGAAGCCTGGGGAGGATGAGCCCAGGTGTGCCAGGGCTGTCCCCCATCCTTATCCCGTCCCACTGCCCTTGCAGTGATGCTGAGCCTGGCAAGCGAGTCGGCCTCTGAGCACATCACCATCAGCAGCGGGGGCCTCCCCGGCACCTACCGTGCGCTGCAGCTCCACTTCCACTGGGGCAGCCCAGCTGGGAACGGCTCTGAGCACACCCTCGACGGGCGCCAGCTCCCCATGGAGGTAGGCGAGAAAAAGCATCCATCGCACTCTCTGGGTGGCCCGAGTCCTTGGTGTGACGGGAAGGTGTGATGCTGGTGTGTCCCAAGGCTGCCATGCAGCGGGGTGAGCAGGCTTGGTGAGGCTGCACCGGTGGGTTCGGCCGCACTCCCCCTCACCACCGCTTGTGCTGATGGTGGGATACGGACAGCCACTGCACAGGGCACCTGGGTGGTTAAAAAGCAGCTGACACAAGACTCAAGGTTTTTCTTTTCCATGCGTGGGCCAGGCTGCCTTGTCAGAGGCGCTTAGCAGGGTTTGGAGGGCTCTGCGCCCCGCCGGGACCACACGCTGAGTCAGTGAATGCAAGCAAGAGCGTGCAGGAGTGTGCTGTGCCAAGTGCGTTGGGATCCTTCTGGGTGAAAGAGGCTCTGCGCCTCTAAAATATTAATTATCTGCCAGAGGAAAGCAAAATTTATGTATTGAGGCTGGCGGGTACCCTGGGACCGCCTTCAGAGGGTGCTTGCTTCATTGGGGTGCTTTCACCCTTCGAGCAGCTGCCCTGCAGAAGCGCCCATAGGACCAGGAGGGCTTTTGTGGGGGGTGGTTGTCTCAGTGTCCAGCTGCCCCAGATCCAGCTGGCTGGGGAGATCCATGGGTGAGTGCCCCGCTGCTGGGGGGTCGGCTGGGGGCAGTTGCCCACGCTTGGCTCCTCTGTGCTTTCCCCAGCTGCACATTGTCCACATGAATGTCAAGTACCGGACACTGGCAGAGGCCAAGGGGCATCCAAACGGGCTGGCCGTCCTCGGCTTCTTCTTTCAGGTGAGTCTGCGGGGACTCACGCTGCCAGCGTGAGGGGAACCCCAGGAACACGCTGCTTGCGGTGCAGCTGGGGGAGCATTTTACAGCTGCCCCGAGGGAGGAGAAGGGGCAGGAAGGCTGGGTCAAGGCCAGAAGGTGCTGGGGAGCCTCAGTGGTGAAAGGTGCTGTGAGCCTCCCCTCACTGGCTTCGTGCAAGGGGGTCCCAGCTGGGAGCTCACCCATCCCCACCGCTGCTCTGTGGCAATGCCCTGCCTGTGGATGCTCGGTGCTGCAGGATGACCTGGCTCTGCCCTGCCCCAGCTGCTTACTCTCTCCCTCCACAGGTCTCTGAAACCCCTAACACCAACTACAACACCATCGTGGCGGGGCTGAGTAATGTCTCCCATGCTGGTGAGTCACCTCTTCGCCAGGGCAGGGGCAGAAAGAGGAGATCCTGGTGCGGGAGGGCAGGGGAGCACCCCGTGGGTTGGGTGCAGGGGACCTGCTGGTCCATGGGGCCATCTGGCTGCGGGGAAACTGATGGGGACAGCCCTGCCATTTCCCCCATGTCCCCAGCACAGAACAGGCTGAGTGCCTGTGTCTCACCCCACAGGGGACTCTGTGGATTTGGCCTCCACCTTCCGCCTGAGCACCCTGCTGCCGCATGTCGGCCGGCTCTCTGGGTACTACCGCTACCAGGGCTCTCTCACCACCCCTGACTGCAGTGAGGTTGTTGTCTGGACCATCTTCGAGGAGCCAGTGGAGATTGGCCGGGAGCAGGTACCTGCACACACAGCCCCATGCTCTGGCACCCAAAGGGCTGGACATCCTGGGTGGCCGAAGTGCAGCCCCTCTCCTAGTGCTTCACCTGACCCCTAAGCAAGGAAAGTCATCTCTCTACTAACGCTCCCGGCAAACTGGCAATTAATTAGTTTTATGAGGGTTAAGTAACGGAGCTGTGGCCAGATGCCAGCGGGGAGAAATCCCATTCGTAGCTCTCTCCCGCCCAGCCCTGCTATTCAGAAAGCAACATTGGAGTTCAGAAGAGCCTCCAAGGAGGTGGGTGGGTGGATGGGTGGATGGATGGACGGAGGGAGTTCTCCTCTGCTGCCCAAGCATCTGAGTAGACGTATTTCCTTAAGGGTGTCATGGGCCACCTGCTCTTTAAGTGCTCAGCACAGGCAGTGAAACACCATTAGCTCCTTTAAAACTCAAGAGCCGATCCTTGCAAAGCCTGCCTTGTGTACTTACCCTCTGGGTCTGGTTTTGGAAGAGTGGTGAGGGGTGGTGGGAGGACACCCTCTGGCACTGGGCCATGCCATGCCATCGGCTGCGGGGCAGCACGGATAGGGGCTCACGAGCGGGCGGGGGCTCGGGGTGCCTGGCGAAGCGGCTGCCCACCCCTGCTTCTCCCCC